AAAAAAAAAAAAAAAAAAAAAAATTAACTGGATGTGGTGGCACATGCCGTAGTCCCAGCTACTCAGGAGGCCGGGGCAGGAGAATTGCTTGAGCCTGGGAGGTAGAGGTTGCAGTGAGCTAAGATAGTGCCACTGCACTCCAGTCTGGGTAACAGAGACTCAATCTCAAAAAGAAAGATAAAGAAGGATAAAAGTAACACCAAAACATGAAGGAATGAGAATACTGTACTGAGGTGAGCTCCACTCTAAGAATCATATAGAGAAAAAAGCAAGTTGACAGAGCTCTTTAGAAACTCTCAGCTAGATGAAGTATTATTAGCAATCTGAGAGAAGCGAAGCAAATCCGATTGTTAAGTAAAAGGTCAAAACCATTTGTTTCACAAAGGAGTAAGGCTGAGAAAAAAGACGTCTCCAGTATGTAACACCAGGATGCCAAAATTTCAGGATATTCAGATGTCACAGAAATTTCCTCCTCTCCTATTTTCCTGGTATCATTAATTGGGTCGATTGACAGAACCCTATTCCCTAGCAAGAGCAATGATATGGTTTGGATGTTTGTCCCCTCTAAAACTCATGTTTAAACGTGATCCCTAATGTTGGAAGTGGAGTCTGGTGGGAAGTGTTTGGGTCATGGGGCAGATCCCTCATGAATGGCTTGGTGCCTCCCCATGGTAATAAATTACTGCAATATCTATCTGATTGCTAACAAAAGCCTGGGACACTCCTCCCCGCCCCCCCGCCTTGCTCTCTCTCTAGTCATGTGGCATCCCTGCTCCCCTTCTACCTTCTACCATGACTGGAAGTTTCCAGAGACCCTCACCAGGAGCTGATGCTGAGGCTATGCTTCCTGTACAGCCTGCAAAGCTATGAGCCAAAATAAACCTCTTTTCTTTATACATTCCTCTGTCTCAGGTATTCCTTACAGCAATGCAAAGCAGACAAACATAAGCATTCTCATCCCACCCTACTCTGATTAACTTCTTTCCAAACACTTCTCATTGGCATTCTCTAGTCCTGAGTGACACCAGTTTGCACAATGAGGTTTTTTTTTCGTTTTTCAGTCATTCAGGAATCAACAAAGTTCCTCATTCTGGATATTTTACTGATGAGAATCCTGAAATTAACCACTCCAGTTATAAATTAATATTGTGCCCCGTTCAGATCTTTTTTCACAGCAAGACTTCATTTGTCCTAAGTGAATTCCATATGACTCATGTTTGCCTAATGTCAAACATATGTTCTTGATAGCTTTCTCTCTCTCTCTCTTTTCTTTCTTTCTTTCTTTTTTTTTTTTTTGTTTTTTTGAGACAGACTTTCCCTCTTGTTGCCCAGGCTGGAGTGCAATGGCTAGATCTCAGCTCGCCACAACCTCTGTCTCCTGGGTTCAAGCGATTCTCCTGACTCAGCCTCCCAAGTAGCTGGGATTACAGGCGTGTACCACCGTGCCCGGCTAATTTCTTTTTGTATTTTCAGTAGAGATGGGGTTTCTCCATGTTGGTCGGGCTGGTCTTAAACTCCCGACCTCAGGTGATCTGCCCACCTCGGCCTCCCAAAGGGCTGGATTTATAGGCGTGAGTCACCGTGCCCGGCCCTTGATTGCTTTCTAACATGCCTCTTATAAACTCATTTGCTCTGGAAAATTGGAAGTTCCAAGCTCACTCTAAATTAGATTTCTCAAGAGATTCCAAGTTTTCCTTCATTAGCCACCAAAGTACAAGAGGAAGGAATAATATTTTAGAGAACTGTATGCAAATATTCTTATTAAAAGGGTAACATATAACTTGTGATATAAAAATAGGATGGATTAAATCATTTCATTATGATATGAAATGTAGTTGATATTATTTAACTCTACAATAAAGGATTAGTAGTAGTTATTTTGCTAAATAAATTCATTTTGCTAACCATTACATGGCAGAATAAATCTTGGTTAATCTTACCCTGAGCTGCTGGGTCTGTGCTTCTATTTCCTGATAAGTTGCTTTCCTCATTGGTTCCTCCGTTACATGGTTCACTTTGGCTGGATGCAGGGTACTCTCTTCTGCAACTAACTTCACTTGGCTGTTGATGACCATCATGACTTATAAAGGAATCTAGCTGGCTCTGTTCTACTTCCTCTGAATTCAGTTTTATGTTACTAATTCCATTAAGTATTTCACTATGATCCTTATCATTTGTACCAGAGCTGTCATTATCAACTGTAATAGGTGTCGATGGAAAAGATACTATTATGTCAACTTTCATGCAATTTTCATCTTTCTTGTTGTCAGCTTCTGTTTTAGATGTATAAGAATCTGTATCACAGCTTTGCACGGCATCAAAAGTCCAACCCTGAGCTTCCCAATACTGAAACTGTTCCAAATAATACCAATAAAGTTGACTATAATGTTGCTCCCATTCTTCCTTTGTATCAGGAAAGTTCCAAGGTTCAGAAGACAGTGCTTGATCTGGATGTTTTTCTTGCCAACCTTGCCACAACAATCCTCCTCCATATTCATTCCAATACTTTTCCCATTTCTCTGTAATTTCTAGCTTTGGAGATAATGTGTTTTCAACAGGACGATTTTCCACGTCAGTGTCTTTTTTGCTTTGAAGTTTACATCTTCTGGTGTTCTCACACTGTTCAACTGAAGATGGATCATCTGAAGCCAAAATGTCATCCTCTTCATATTCTTTTTTCCAAGATTCTTGCATAATTTCATCTAAGTATTTCTTTTGATGTTTTTTCTTTTTCTTTTTTATTTTAACTTTATTTCTAGTATTCATAGATACCTACATCAGATAAATAACTTGAATATAAAATGCACTTCATAAACTATAAAAGAAAGTAGAATCCACATCTATTTTGACAGTAAATTAAACAAAATACTCTCAAAGTCTGTGGGTTTTTAGCTCCACAGAAAAGTGATTTACTATCTAAGTTTCCAAGAGGAGAAACAGTCACACATGGGACATATTATAACTTGCAGTTCTAGTTAATTTATAAATAAATATGTACACTTAAAAAGAGGCAGAAAGCACCGATCGTGAATGCATTTAATCTGATAAAAGTAATTCTTTGCAATATTTTATTAAAAAAAAAAAACAAACCAAGAGATAGAATAAAAGTTAATTAATATTTACCTCAAAATTCTTATGTGCAGATATCCTACCAAACTGAAGTGGCAATCCCATACTTCTCATGAGTTCGGCCTCAGAATCAAGCTCATTTTCATCTAGGTCTATACCCTTGCTGTCATGTGATTCTGCAGTACCACAGGAATAACCACCTTCCTCCTCCTCTTCTGTCGCCTGGTCTCCTATAGACAACATTTATTAGCTTAGTTTTTAGGAAAACTTAAGAGGCAGGTTTTCTTATTCTCATTTTAAAGAACCTAAGATGCAGAGTGACTGATTACAGGACATACCCAAAATAAAGGTATGCAAATGTTACATTTAAAAAATTTTTTAGAGATGGAGTCTCACAATACTGCCCAGGTTGGAATATAATGATTATTTACAGGTGTGATCATAATGCACTAAAAAGCTTTGAACTCCTGGGCTCATTCAGTCCTCTTGCCTCAGCCTCACAAGAAGCTAGGATTACAGTTGCACGCCACATTGCCTGGCCTACAAATGTTACCATTTTTAAAGGAAAAAAAAAGAAAACCCCCCACAACTGATGGTATGCTAGGCATGGTGGCTCACGTCTGTAATCCCAGCACTTCGGGAGGCTAAGGTAGGCAGATCACGTGAGGTCAGGAGTTTGAGACCAGCCTGTCTAACATGGTGAAACCCCGTCTCTACCAAATATACAAAAATTAGCTAGGCATGGTGGTGGGTGCCTGTAATCCCAGCTACTTGGGGGGCTGAGGCAGGAGAACTGCTTGAACCTGAGAGGCAGAAGCTGCAGTGAGCCAAGACTGTGCCACTGCAAACCAGTCTGGGTGAGAGAGTGAAACCCCATCTCAAAAAAGGAAACAAACAAACAAACAAACAAACAAAAAACCCAAAAACAAATCTAAAAACAAAACCAAATGATGGTAATGTGGACTAGCAACAAAAAAAACCAATGAAGAATCAAGAGACAATTTCTCGTTGGGCTCTGCCTGCCACTACTCATCCAGCTACCCATTTAACTTACTCTTATTGAGCATCTGCTCTGTGTTGGGCATTGTGCAAAAGACTGTGGATAGAAAGGAGGGAGAATAGGGCCATGTAATGCTGCTCTGTGGAAAAAATACTTATATATTCACATTCCTTTTTTTTTTGAGAAGGAGTTTTGCTCTTGCTGCCCAGGCTGCAGTGCAATGGCGTGATCTTGGCTCACCGCAATCTCTGCCTCCCAGGTTCAAGTGATTCTCCTGTCTCAGCCTCCCAAATAGCTGGGATTATAGGCATGTGCCACCACGTCTGGCTAATTTTGTATTTTTATTAGAGACAGGGTTTCTCCACGTTGGTTGGGCTGGTCTCGAACTCCCAACCTCAGGCAATCTGGCCACTTGGCCTCTCAAAATGCTGGGATTACAGGCATGAGCCACGATGCCCGGCCAGATGTTCACATTCTTTATCTGCAAAATTACTGAACAAAATCAGTGGATTTAAAAATCATGATTTGTGAAGTTACTTTAGGAATTATTAACATGAGGGGTGAGGAGTCTGGGCACCGTGGCTTATGACTCTAATTCCAGCATTTTGGGAGGCTGCTTGAGGCCAGGAGTTTGAAACAAGCCTGAGAAACATAGTGAGGGCCCGTCTCTACAAAAATAAATAAATAAATAAATTACCCTGGGGTGATGGTGCCTGTCGTCCCCACTACTTGGGAGGCTGAGGTGAGAAAAATGCTTACGTAATTGGCACCTGGGCAACAGAGCCAGACACTCGCTCTCTCCAAAAAAGAGAAAGGGTTGAAATCCACTGAACTGGAGGATTTTTTTTCAAGCTCTCTGAGTCTAATTCTTATAGAAAAACCATTTATTACAACAAAGTAAGTTTTATTTTATCCTAATTTGGTTATCTAATAGTAATTATGCCACTAATTGAACATATCTCATTCAAGTGCTCTATTAACTATTTAAAATGTGAGATAACAAAAATCATTTTACATATTAGCACACTCAATTAGCATTGGAGTACACTCCAGCTTGATGATCTCAGGCAACAGAACAGTAAATCTCACATAGCCAAAAGGAAGCTGATAAGAGAGAAATCTCACATGCACAAATTCTACCAAAAGAGGGAGGAAGACATCTTTCTAAATAATGAAGGGGAATGCACTCACTATTCCATTCAATAAATGAAACCTCAGGAGACAGCAACACGGGGAAAATTAGTAAGCTAAGCACGGGGAAAATTAGTAAGTTAAGTTTTACGTTTTCACAGTATGCATATTTTCTTATGCTCAGGGAACATGGTGTTTATAGAAGCTTTATTTGTATAGCACTGCACTGAAACACAAACCAAACATTCTATCCAGTGATCAACCGAAGAAACAGTAATTTGTTCCATCCTGTGAGAGTTAAAGGATTTCCAAAGGTAACTATGACACTGTACTTGGGCTGACTTTGGCTTCTAACTCCATGCTATGATTTTCTCCATGTCTAGAAACACAAAAGGTCTATGTGGAAGGACAAATGCAGTAGAGAAGTTGGAGAGACCAAAGTGAGGCTCAATGTACAGTATAAATTATATTTGTTATTTGGGAAAGTTAACCAACATGACAGTCTCTTTACTTCAGGCAAAAGACTATAGATGCTAACCTGGAATTTTTATCCTGTAGCATTTACCTACATAATACACTTCCGATGATGAAACCACATATTCTAAATTGGAGATGGTGTCTCATTCTGTTGCCCAGGCTGGAGTGCAGTGGTGCAATCTTGGCTCACTGCAAACTCTGCCTCCTGGGTTCAAGGGATTCTCTTGCCTCAGTCTCCTGAGTAGCTGGGATTACAGGTGCCAACTACCACACCTGGATAATTTTTGTATTTTTAGTAGAGACAGGATTTCACCATGTTAGCCAGGGTGGTCTTGTACTCCTGACCTCAAGTGATCTGCTTGCCTTGGCCTCCCAAAGTTCTGGGATTACAGGAATGCGTCACCACGCCCAGCCTGAAACCACATATTCTCTACTTTTCAAAGCTTCACATTCCAGGTTGCTCTTATCTAACGGGGGCTACTCGGGAAGGAACACTACACAGGGCAAAAGGGGGTATATTAAGTCATCACAGGAGCTATAGAAAAAGAAAAGATCTGCTTTCACAGACATTCCAGAACCATGTTATTAAAAAAATAAAAATTGTCTATGATTACAGAATTGGCATTTATATTTTATGCTAAAAAATCAATACAATATTTTAACATACATAAATTAACACAATATTATGACTAATTTCAGCAAAAAAGTGTTATATAACTGTATACTAGATTACCTGAATTGTTGCCACTGTCTCTGATGTAATAGCCTTTTAATCCCAAATTGTACAATTTTCGATCCCTGTGAAGCAGATTAAACAGTTCATATTGAAATGAATTAAGCCATACGCTTAGAGGGAAAGAAATCTCAAGCCATCATAGATTAAAAAGCTTATGAAACAGAAAAGCAATTTGTTAATATGCTTTCCTCACCTATAATATAATGTAGAAGCAATTAATACAGTTCTCACAGAGCTGTTGTAACAACTGACAGTATATGTAAAATATTTAGCATAATGCCTAACACACTTAGCATTTATTATAGCATTTATTACTATAACTACTAGTTATTAAAATTAAGGCCGGGCACAGTGGCTCACACCTGTAATCCCAGCACTTTGGGAGGCTGAGATCAAGAGGATGAGACCAGCTTGGCCAACATGATGAAACCCCCTGTCTCCACTAAGAACACAAAAATTAGCCAGGCATGGTGGCAGGTGCCTGTAATCCCAGCTACATGAGAGGCTGAGGCAGGAGAATTGATTAAACCCAGGAGGCAGAGGTTGCAGGGACCTGAGATCATGCCACTGCACTCCAGCCTGGGCAACAAGAGCAAAACTTTATCTCAAAAAAAAAAAAAAAGGTCATTTCTCCTGGACATTGGGGGAAGAATCTGATATTCCGTATGAAACATAAACAATGGGCTGTTCTGTAAATTTTGTTGTGACTATAAAATAAAATAACAGTGGAAAGATTTAGCTTATACACATACAAATCAACATGCACACCCTAATCCATTTGCTAAAGACAAAATATCCATTGTGAATAGTAGACATGGTCTGAGCATTACCAAAATAAACCTAATAGAACACTTAAAAAAAAGTGAGATTTTGCTTTTAATTTTTTTAAATTAAAAATTTTGTTTTCTATTTTTATTTTTAATAGAAATGAAGAAGGTTATTTAAAAACAAGGTGGGCTCAAGACATCATTTGATAGGAAGGAAGGCCAGAAAGAACTCTCAGGTATTGGGCCAAATTAGAAGTATTGTTATCAACCCATGGCATTTAAGTTTATATACACAGCAGACATAAAAATTTTAAAAGTGTTACATATGTGTGTGTGTATGTATACACACACAGACACGCTCATGTCCGTTTATAAAACACACATATAGACCTTAACTCTCTTTACTAAGAGGACACAGGAGCAACGAGCACAATGTGCACCCAGGTTTTGGTTTCTAAATACTATTTTCCACTAAAGAAACTAAGCTGCCTTGGAGAAATGACAATTCCAGGTTGGAGCATGGACTGTAAAAGATAAACCTGGGTCATCTCATGCCAGAAGGTTAGGAAGCACTCAAAGAACACTAGAAATACCAAAAGGACATCGGAGCCACTTCAAAGAGTTTCCCACTGGCCAAATCAGGGACAATACGAGCACCAAATTAATGTTAACAATGGAATATAACCTGTGAGTAAACTAACAATCTAGATTCCATGTTAACATAAACAAATGAATATGGGGAGAAAAAGAAGGGAAAGCGTTCTTTACAGAATGCTACCTAATAAATGCAGTAGGAGCGAAGGAGACAAGAACCACTACTTGGCATTTTCACAGAGGTAGCTGATTCAGGTAGAAGTTATCAATGAAGGCCAAGGTTTGTTGGTTTACTGGAAAATAGGATGCTAATTTAACACCGGAATATGCTCCCACAAAATACCGAATACAAAAGAAACCACGGTGACTTTATAGTAGAAAACCTGGCAACATTACCCATGGTGGTATACCATCTACAAAAAGTGCCTCCTGAGGCCACAACAGAGCTAGGCACAGCATCATTTGTGGCATTCCTGCTAAGGCATGACCTGACTATTCATGACGAAACATCAGACGGACCCAGGTTGTGCAAGGTCATCCTACAGAATGTAAGCATATGAAACTTAGAATGTGGCCTCTATAAGAGTAAGGGATTCTGGCCAGGCACAGTGGCTCACACCTGTAATCTCAACACTTTGGGAGGCCGAGGTGGGCAGATCGCTCGAGTCCAGTGAGACCATCTCTACAAAAATTAGCCAGGCATGGTAGCTAATTTTGAACTTAGAATGTAGTTCTAATTTCTAAATTTGAAGAATTTGTGTGGGCCAGGCACGGTGGCTCACACTTATAATCCCAGCAGCTTGGGAGGTGGAAGAGGAAGGACTGCTTGAGGCCAGGAGTTTGAAACCAGACGGAGCAAAATAACAGACCCCAGCTCTACAAAAAATAAAAAAAAATTAGCCAGGGGTAGTAGTGCACATCTATGGTTCTAGCTACATGGGATGCTGAGCTGGGAGAATCACTTGAGCCCAGGAGGCTGAGGCTATAGTAAGCCACTGCACTCCAGCCTGGGAAGCAGAGCGAGTCTCTGTCTCAAAAATAAATAAATAAATAAAGACCATGCCAGGTATAGTGGCTCATGCCTATAATCCTAGCACTTTAGGAGGCTGAGATGGGTGAATCACTTGAGGCTAGAAATTTGAGACCAGTCTGGCACACATGGTGAAACCCTGTCTCTATTAAAAATACGAAAATTAGCTGGGTGTGGTGGTGTGCGCCTGTAGTCCCTACTTGGGAGGCTGAGGCATGAGAACTGCTTGAACCTGGGAGGCAGAGGTTACCACTGCACTCCAGCCTGGGCAACAGAGCAAGACTCTGTCTCAATAAAAAAGAGAAAAGAATACATATGAAATTATTTGTAATGTAAACACACTTTTCAGTTCAAAAAGATTAAATTCAATGAAATTGAAAGATGGCAATCAAACAAGTGTTTTAAAAGTCATTTTGATTCAAATTCAATTGTGTATTATTTTCTGGAGGTACAAGCTGAGAAATCTTCTCAACTTTTTATATTTCATAACTTATATTCTCTCTCTCTTCTTTTTTAGAAAGAGGGCACTTCCAAAAAGTAGCATCGGTACCCAATCATACTGTGAGCCATGAATTCAGCATGTAGCCTTGGCTGCCACTGACTGCAAGGTGACTTTCCTTCCTTGGCCTGCATCTTCTACACAGAGCCCAGTACTTTCTTCTAGTGAGCTTCTTGGTCCCACCACAGTGCTAGCCTGTAAGCCTCTGGAGGATAGGCCCAACTTAACAGGCCTGGTCCTGAGAAAGCGGCAGAAAGACCTTTATTCATGGATGAGAGGTAAGTCAGATGTCCAAGGTTATTACTAGTATGTTCCAAAGCTACTGATGGCAGAAAGATCAGCAACAAAAGAATACCAGCCCTTAAATTTTTATGAAAACTGTTTCTTAAAACTTTCTGGGAGGCTGAGGTGGGTGGATCACAAGGTCAAGAGATTGAGACCATCCTGGTCAACATGGTGAAACCCCGTCTCTACTAAAAATACAAAAATTCAGCTGGGCATGGTGGCGTGTGCCTGTAATCCCAGCTACTCAGGAGGCTGAGGCAGGAGAATTGCCTGAACCCAGGAGGCGGAGGTTGCGGTGAGCCGAGATCGCGCCATTGCACTCCAGCCTGGGTAACAAGAGTGAAACTTCGTCTCAAAAACAAACAAACAAACAAACAAAAAAAAACTTTCAAGTATCTCCAAGAGCACTCATCAACAGCAATGAAGTATTTCTAATGCTTGGCATTTGAAGAATTTCCATTATACTTGCTAAGTATTCTCTATAAAGTAGTCTTTGAGTTTGATCAGTGTAACTTAATCCACAGAGCATAATGACTCTGGATGAACTGATAACCTAAAAAATAGAGACAGGATCTCTCGTAATTTCTGGACCTGGCACACGGAAGGACTAAATAAACCTTAACTGCTGACTTGAATTGTAGAGCAGGAGACCTAACCTGATTCCCATCAAGATACCGCTCTCCTTAGAGTCCTGACTAAGCAGCCACCTGAATGCTCATCCTCATATCGCTGAAAACAGCAATCATCACTACGATGCCTAAGTCATCTTTCTACTACAGCACCTCACACTTGGGCAGCTGAAATAAAAGCTGAGTAAAAGGTTCTTGGAAATCTCTAAAGTACAAGTAGCAATTCCTCTTTTGCAAAGAAACTGAATCAGCTTCATTTTCAAGTAGTAAAAGGGAAAGGAAGTCCTTTCTGAAAGTGTTCAAAGGGGATCACAGAACTATATGACTTGCCCAAGGCCACACAGTTGATTTTTGTAAAACCAGACAGATATGCTGTCTATAAGGTCACCACTCTTTTAAATTCTGGCTCAGGAATCTGTTGGGGGGAAAACACAGCAAATAATTTTGTTGCATCATATGTGAAAGACTGGAGATCACCACCAGACACTGTCACATGAGTATGATCAGAGGTGGGCTCTTAAGTTTCCAGAATCGTCCTCTATCTCCATGAATCTATATTAATGCTAAAGTATGTTAACAGGACACCAGTGGTTCTAGTGACTTTAGACTACTTAAATACCTTGATGAGGGAGATTCAATAAACTCATGTTTTATGCCAACTGGTAGCGTAATAGAAAGGCTCTCATGTCATACATGAATTCCAAGGCTGCCATTTACTGGCTATGTGATTTTTTTTAGGCCACTACAGACACTCTTTGAGATAGGGTCTCATTCTGTCACCCAGATTGGGTACAGTGGTATGATTATGGCTCACTGCAGCCTCGACCTCCCAAACTCAGGTGATCCTCCTACCTCAGCTTCCAGAATAGCTGGGACTACAGGGGTGCCCCACATGCCTGGATAATTTTTTCTATTTTTAGTAGAGATGGTGTTTTGCCATGTTGCCCAGACTGGTCTTCAACTCCTGGGCTCAAGTGATTTGCCCTTCTCAGCCTCCTGAAGTGCTTGGATTACAGGCGTGAGCCATCACACTCAGCCAAGACTCAATTTTTTACTTGAGTAAAGTGAAGATAACAAGACATACCTCAGGGGGCTGCTGAAAGGCCTAAATGAAAAAAAATTTTTTTAAAAGAAAAGTTATTCTGACACTTGTTAAAATGGTAAAGAAAGGCTTTATTTAGGAGAATCATGATAGGAATCAACATAATGGTAGCCGGACATGGTGGCTCACACATGTAATCCCAGCATTTTGGGAGGC